TAATTACAGTACCATAATCACTTCAATGCTCTTCATTGTTGGCTACAAAGATATACATTCATTGGCCGATAAAGCGAAGTTGATGCCTCAGTGTCGAGCGATTGCAGCGCAATACCCCGAATACGATATGGTACCTTTCGATACGGACTCGCAGTTGATCGACGTTATCCTCTCGGTACCGTCCACAACATTCTAGTGAGTTTCGCGCACAATGCTCAGTCCTTATTCACTATCGACCACTCGAGAAATCTCTTACTCAGCGTTCATCAATTGGAGTTTTTCCTATGATTGATATCAACTCTCATTATTTTCTGGGCTGTTAATACAAGTTCATTCTGCATACCGCTACCTTTCAAGACTCCAAATTACAGTACCATGGCATATACGGTCGTTGCAATTGGCATTGTCTTCTTCATATTCTCAACAAACTTCATGACCTCGCTCGTTGCAACCCTTTCTGTGCTGTCAATTTGCACTGGTTAGCCATCGAATTTGTCATTGANAATGAATAGCATTCTGGATATCTTTTAAAAGTTCCTCTTAACTTGGGAAATATTGTTCTCGACTGAGATTCAAAAAAGCGACTTCGATTAGATTGTTTATGACGAATACGATAGTATCTAAGCATCTGGATTGAGCTAAAAGGCCTTGGATATTGTGGTCTAGTGTGATATTTTATATGTATTATTCAGGTCATCGAGAAAAAAGGTCTGAATTTCAGGAGTACTGGGTATGATGCATTATTGGGGTTGTTGTCTGGATCCACTCACGATGGTCGCTGTCATAATGACTGCGGGGCTGGGTGTCGACTTCAGTGTTCATATTGTATTCCATTATTTGCTGAATGAGCAGAAACACGATGATTGCGCGAAACGAATTGCAGCCGCATTCAACGGATGCGCGCTTTCAACAGTTCAGGTAGTTCATACCCTAAGTTCTCGTTGCTGCCTTTATGCTTTAATTTCTTCCTAATATTTCTCATCTTTAAAGCTTTTCTCAAATATTTTTTATGTTGCCTTTATAGCAACAGTTTCCCATGAACCTCTCAATGATGTTGCCTTGTATTTTTANTTTCGTTTATAAATTTCTCGATTATGGCATGTAGTTGATCAAGGATATGTGATTCTGATCACATCAGTGATCAAAAAGTCCGATTGAAAATCATTGTTTGATGAAGCAGTAATAAAATTGACAGTTCCAATTGATTGGTACTTCGATTCGTCCGAATCTTTTGCCGCTGTGATTGAGCGGAAGATTGTTCGAAATACTGTTAGCTTGTAAATTTTTGCTGAATTTCAGGCTGGCTGCTCAACATTTCTAGTCATGTTCCCGGTTCTATTCGCTCCGGTTGGTGTGTATACGGTTATTGCGAAAGCGATTGTTCTGGTTGTTATCATTGGCCTTATTCATGGCCTTCTTTTAGTGCCTATTTTATTGAGTGCACTTCCGAACACTTTTACTGGTAATGCGTGGTGTGCAAAACGACCGCAACGGGATCAGTCTTTGGTTATGAAATCTAGTTTAATTAAGCAGCCTTCACTTATATAACCTCAGTAGATCTTAACTAACTTGTATCTATAATATTTAAAATTTTAACTTATAATGTAACTTTAACATAGGTAGTGTTTATATGATCTTCCCGAGTAAATTAGATCAGCCAAACATCAAGTGAGTAATTTGGCTTGACGAAAAAGCAACAGAAAATTCGATGCTATGATGATTGTCATTGCATGAGGTCCTTCATTTGAGTGGAACTTCACAGTCATTATCGGAAATGCTTCAAAATGATTCACTCTCAAGAAAAAGCCCTTCTAATAAAAACTCAAATTTTTTCTTTAACTTTCAAGTGACTGCACACGTCTTCACTATGTTTCAAAACGTTATTAACCTATTTCAATGAATTTTCCGTATTTGGTGTAAACTACCCGGCAAATGGGCTAAACTTCACGCCTCATTTTCTTCAGCTCAATATTTCACTCACTTATTTGGGTATGCCTTATACAAGTATCACTATGAATTCGCTTATTTTGATGTATCATTCGGTGTCTTATTGCATTGTTTAGTTTGTTGATATTGCAATTTTTTGAAGCGCTTTCTTGTTCAGTTATATTCTTGAATTATTCTTCAGTTATATTCATAGTGCCTATTTGTTGGTAATGTTGAAAAAATGACTGTTCGCATCTCTTCCGAAAATGCATTTAGCAATCTGTTAACAATCTGAATGTGAAAGTAAACACCTCTAAAGACTTTAGTATTGGCCGTATGACTATTTCAAAAACTAAAATCAAACAATCCTTAGTCATCGAATGAACCTGAAGAGGTTCAGCATCTATTCGTTGGAAATCCTTAAGTNAATCAAACAATCCTTAGTCATCGAATGAACCTGAAGAGGTTCAGCATCTATTCGTTGGAAATCCTTAAGTGTCATAAGATGAGAAATGTGATTCATTTGCGTTTATTTCTTGTGCCTTCTCATTGATTAATGTGTGCTGTCGTACGGTTATTTGCATTATTTGACTGTGGTTTTTTTCCGAAAAGCTGTTTTCTTCCCGAATTGCTCTCTCGAATGCTTCGCATTTTAGGTGGTTATGCATCTCAGGTTTATTTCGTTTGCTTCAAAAAATCTTCCACAAGAAAAAAGACACGCTCCAGTAAACGCTCCAATAAAATACAATGAGAAGCATACTAATCGTAAGAAGAAAAATTCCTGTCCAAACAACGCTTCGCATTTTGAATGCATCATTTTTTTTAACAATTCAAAAGTTTGCATTTCTTCTCACAATCGCAGTAAATAAACAGCATACTGCTGCTGTTGGTGATTCGATATGCATTTTGTTGGCTAATTTCGTGGGCTCAAACACTGAAAACAATTGAGAGTCAACAAAAATTGGAGGCACTTCCTATATACGAAGACCAAAAAAACAGCTTCCAGCATCAGATATAAATCATTTTCGGATAGCTAATTATTTTAACTTTTTCAACAGATCAGCAGCAATTCGCATTCTTTAATCGTTTCCATGTTTTTTGCATTTTCTTCAGAATTTTCATCGCATTTCTTACTCTTTCTCATTTCAAGTGATTATTAGAAAATAGTTTCAATTCAAAATTTCCTGAATNATCGCATTTCTTACTCTTTCTCATTTCAAGTGATTATTAGAAAATAGTTTCAATTCAAAATTTCCTGAATCCTCACCATGTTGCTAAATCAGTTCAGTTATAAGTTATAATAGGAGAGGTTTTACAAGCAGCTTCAAAATCCACCATCAGTTATTCAAATGCGTTCAGTTATTTTTTGTATGTCGTCAAGTTTGTGTTGACTATTTTTGATGTTTGCTCGTTTTTGATATGTTCATCTATCTCATTCCTGGCTCATTACCGCGGCCATTGCATTCCAGTCTTTTTCATGTGCATTATGCAAAATATGCCTTTCTTGTGTTTATTTTCATACGTTTATATGTCTGTGTTTAAAACACTTCCGATTATGTTCATGCAGTTATTTCCTGCGATTACTGTCACGTTTTTTGAACTTGTAATCTTGCCATTTCTCTGAGGTAATATCTTCAGATGGAATTTTTTCGTCATTTTTTTCCAATTGTTAATCAGTTTTTCACAGATGTGTCCATAGATACTAAATGGATCATTTGTATCTGTAAAAGGTGATAATAAATACTAATTGAATGGTATGANTGTCCATAGATACTAAATGGATCATTTGTATCTGTAAAAGGTGATAATAAATACTAATTGAATGGTATGACAAGAGAGTGAATGATAAGGATGTTGGTTGTTCAGTGATGACCAGTGAGTTGTACTCATTGCAGTCGCATGCTCTATTCCAGCTTCGATGGTTAACCTTGAGGATAAATGAGAGTCTAAACCCGAAACACAGCGCAAGTTCACTGGTAGGAGTAAGCATAAGCTTTTGATTGTAAAGCTGGATGTCAACGCCAACTGATCAAATGTGACTTACAAACTGATCACTGAGCAAAACATTCGATCGATGCAACTAACAAAATAGATATTTAATTTGTACCCAAACACAAAATAAATAATAATAATAATATTCATCGTATTCAACAGCTATTTGAACGCAATATTGAATACTGTACAATAGTCAAATCATTTCGTTTGCATCAGAAAATGCAGCAGAAAGGGAGTATCAAACTGAATTAGAATCGCTGGTAGCATCTTAATGATAATGGTGATGACAATAAATTTTATAACAATAATGACAGTTATAAATGAAATTATAGCTTTAACAGTAATGCAAATTGTAACATGACAATATTAATAACAATAATAATATTAAGAATGAATGATAATAATAATATTTATAAAACTAAATAAATAATAAATTAATCGTAAAAACAATAATAATAAGGAACCATAATAAATTAACGATATAATCCGAACAGAATATTCAGTTTCTCATTACACGGCAGGCTATAGTTTGCGCAGCTAATGCCTATAATTGGTGTTCGATGCAAGAATCGAACACAACGACCAAATTAGAGAACAGGCAAAGTTTTCTTATTGTTAGGA